TAGCCCGTAGCGCTAACCGTCCTTACGGCGCGTATAAGACTACGCCGCCGCTAGCCCGGTACGGTATCGCTATATCCCCGACCTATCGCCCTCGCCCCCCGTTATACCCGACGATAACGTCCGCCTACTCGCCCTCGATAGCGGTAGCGTCCGCGGCCTCTCCTCCCTTATAATCCTACGGAGCCTTATAGCGGCCGTCGACCCCGATAGCCCCCCTAAGCTCTATAACTACTTCGATATAATCGGCGGTACTAGTACCGGCGACCTTATTACCGTTATACTCGGCCGCCTATATATATCGGTAGACGACTATATCGCCGCGTATATTAGACTATCCGATAATATCTTCTAGAAGAAGAGTTATAGGGTTAAGATTAACAGTAAGCTATAAGGCAGGTTCGATAGCGCGGCGCTTAAGCGCGCTATTAAAGGTATCCTTAAGGACGCCGGTTACGACGAGAATATCCTGCTTAAGGATACGTCTAGTAAGTATAAGGTATACGTCGCGCACCTACCCTTCCTACTATCTATATATACTAACCGAACCTTAGCTAGATTCGTCTACGCGATAAGTAAATAGACGGGCGATACCGTCTGCCTCGTAAGCTACCGCTCCCCTAGATCTACCCACCTACTTGACTATATTAAGATCTAGGAAGCCTGCTATATAACCTCGGCCGCTACCACCTTCTTCGGCCCTATCGTTATCGGCCCCTTCGGCGAGTAGTTCGTTAATAGCGCCCTCGGTATAAATAACCCCGTTTCCGCCCTCTAGAATAAGGCCTAGGACGTATAAGGAGACTAGCTACGGGGTAGCCTACGGTACCTAGTATTAGTCGGTACGGGAGTACCTATATTAATACCCGTCCGGGATAACGCGCTAGGCATCCTATCGACGCTCGAAAAGCTCGTAACGGAGACTAAGTAAATAGCGGAGTAGTTCCGGCGCGATAAGGCCGACCTCGATAATAGTAGCCGCTACTTCCGCTTTAACGTCGCCCGCGGGCTAGAGGATATCGGCCTAGAGGAGTCGAAGAAGAAGGCGGAGATTACGGCGGCGACCGGGCGCTACGTCTAGTCGTAGGAGGTATTAAAGTATATAATAGTCCTTACTAATACTCTCGCGAGGATATAGTATTAATAGTTCTACCGTAGTTTCTAATATACTATCGAAGCTTTAAGCTTACCCGCTAATATCTTACCTTATAGACCTAGGCCCTTATAAAGTCCCTTTTAGCCTAGCTAGCGTGCCCGTATCGGCTAACTTTATTAATAGACCGTTCGATATAGCTCGCCTAAAGGAATACCTCCTCCCTCGCTAGTCGTAATAAGATAGGAAAAAGGTTTTCGTGCTATATAGGCTAGGTAGCGTCGGTAAGATATAGCTAGCGGTCGATTTCGCCTAATAGTACTAGGCCGTCTTTAGCGCTATCTTTTAGCTCGACGGCTAGTTAGAGGACCGGCTTAGGCGGAGTATCGCCGGGTGTGTCGATAGTATCCCCGAAGGCTAGATCCCCTCGGCGACACGGTAGTAGGCTAAGGGATATAGCCCGGAGGACTTAGATACGGCTATAGCTATAGTTATAGCGTGGCTCGGGCGCGCTATTAACCGTGACTAGCTTTTAGTATTCGATAATATTAACCTAGACTATAAATAGGCTATAGTAAAAGGCGCCTACGATATACGGTAGTATATACCCTAGGACTATAGGGCGGTCCTTATTACGATACGGGTATCGCGGCTAGTATAGCTAGTATCGCTAGGCCACTCGCTTAAGCTAGCTAAGGTGGACACGGGCCTTAGTAGGGATATCCTTAAGTCGTAGTATAGCGGCCCGCTTAGTAAGTACCTATATATTACCTGGATTCTTAGTATACTCTAACTATATATAGGCCTAGACGCCGATAACCTCCTAGCCCTCCTCGACGGCCTACCGCTAGTACTAGCCTAGGCGGCTTTATATCTCCGAGAAACGGGTATTAGCGTCGGTAACTACCTAAAAATCTACTAAGACTAGTAGGACGAGTTAATAGCCTCGGGGGCAGACCGCCCGCTACTAGAATATAAGCAGGGTAGTATCGCGATAACGTAAACGGTCTTATTCCGGTAGATCGAGGCTTAGGATAACTCCGCGGCTAGCCTACTATATCTCTAAGCGTTTCTCGATAATAGGCACCTATAGTACGGATTACTGGCCGTGGCGGCGGTAGATAACGGCAGAGTATAGCCCGCGTGGCTTAGAGGCCTCGCGCGTAGTTAGATCCGCTTTCTTAAGGCTATCCGGCTCCTACTACGCTATTCTATTATTAAAGCGTAGGAGGAGGTTAGAGACGGCTACTCGATATACCTAGTAGTGTATAAGTAAGCGTCGTACCTAGACGGCGGTAGTAGTAAGGCAGAACACGCGCTACTAGTACTTATACTAATCAGCCTATCAGTGCCTATATTAACGGCTAAAGACTACTAAGTGCTATAGTAGTAGCTTTTACCGTATACGTAGCGTTACGCAGAATAGTTAAGGGACGGCTCTTTTAATAGCATAGAGAATAATAATAAAGATATACTTAGTTCTTTTTATAATCTAGGAATCCTTTACTCGGACTAGGGTAAGCTAGACAAGGCGGAGGCGATATACTAGCTAGCGCTAGCTGGCCGTGAGAAGGCCCTTGGACCCGGCTATACGGACGCTTTTATAACCGTTAATAACCTAGGAGCCCTTTTTAAGGACTAAGGTAAGCTAGACGATACGGAGGCGATATACTAGCGGGCGCTAGCCGGGTACGAGAAGGCCCTCGGGCCCGACTATATAGACACTCTTATAACCGTTAATAACCTAGGACTTCTTTACGCGGGCTAAGGCAAGCTGGACGAGGCGGAGGCGATATATCGGCGGGCGCTAGCCGGTAAGGAGAAGGCCCTCGGACCCGGCCACACGGACACTCTCGGCA